GGTGCAGCAGATCTTTCCTGACCCGCCTGCTGCTCCCCTCAGCAGTTTACTTGCCTGTTCTACTCCCTGCTCTGTCTCTGTTGAATCCTTCACCCCCTTACACCTCTGGCCTATATCCTAGTTCTATATGAATAATCTTTTTTTAAAAATAGCATTTAAAAAAACGGACAGAAATCTTTCTGGGGGAAAAAAAATCAGAAAATACTCATATTGTTGGGTTCTGTAATCTCTTCCAAAGTAAGAAACAGCACTTTGGCTGTCCAAAAGCAGGAGGGGTTTCTTCTGCTGAGCCCCATTACACCAGCTTTCTGCAATCTTCTTTAACAGGCCTCAAGTGCTCTACCAGTGTGAGATATTAGCAACCACTCTTTCTCTTAATTCCCACACCCACCCCAGCCCTCCTTTGCAAAATACAATCATAGGTATTCTGTTTTATTTTTAAAGGTTTTTTTTTTTTTTTTTTTTTTGCGCCACCCACTAATTCCCAAATATTTCAGGCCAGGGACTGTGCCTTACTTTGTTTTGTTCAAGATACTTAATTCTTAGTAGGGGCTTCACAACAAACACCAACCACATTTGAATAACGTGATACAACAAATGCTGAGGAGTGAATTTACAGTTAGCCAGATTCTATGATCTACAAACACTGATTGTACAAAGAAGCCACCATGCTATTTGTTCCCTCAGCTTCTCATGTGTGTGATTATCAAAGCAATGCATATACTAGGGAAAGGTAGTCATTCTGTGATGACCTTCTAACCCCAGCTCCCCTGACATAAAAAGCAAGAGGCCTATCAGTATGGAGTTTTCTGATGAAGTAACAGACTATGAAGTTTTACTTTAAAATTATACTGCAGGTGTAATTATAATGTTCTACTTATCTTCTTCACCTCCAGATGCAAGGACTTTCAGTTCCTAACGCTGCTGCTGTAGGAATTCCATGTTCCTAGGTCGCTTGCTCACAACCATGTTTCCTTACTTATCAATGTGAGGTGTCATTTACTGAAGTTCTGAGTGGAAGGTAAGAAATACACATTCTTCCACAGAGTGGCCCACCTTTGCCCTGTCAAAGTCAATGTGTATGTGCGCATATATATCACTTAGAAAACATACAAACACTGCAGCCAGCAAGATGTATAGCATTCTAGCTAGATTCCCCCAATTGCTGGCGTTATCTTTCCTGGAGCAAGTGACAGTTTCATTTCTCCCACTTGCCTAATTTCTATATACCAACTGTAATTCCTCCTAAACACAGTAAAATAACTTCTTGTTACAGTTTTCCACATGGTCAAAAGCACAGGTGCCCTGCCCTGTCAAAGCCTGCTCTTCCCAGGTGACCTCTCCCCTAGGATGTGACCTCACATGCCAGCCCTGCCAGCTGACCTCTGGGCACCCGGCAGCCATCATCATGGTCATCCTTGCAGCCCTTCCTGCTCTCTGGCGGCAAGTGCAGCGTCTTGTCCTAGCCTTCAAGGCTGGTTGCTTGACTGTTGATCAAGCTCAAGGTAGTTCAAACCTTCACCACTACACTTTTAAGGTTATATTTCATTACCTTCTATCTTCCAAATTTAACCATATTGTGATTCCTGCTCGTTTACATATTGTACATTCTCTTTTCCCAATATTTTTAAGATTGTCCCTTTAATACTGGGCTAATCTTTGTGCACATTTTTTTCATAGTCCTTGAACTGGGGTCAAGGGCTTTTAAACACATAAAACACACCTTTTCCAGTTAAGTGCAATTATATTTTAATGTTGTTGTTTTATTTAATAGTTTCTTTTCCTTTTTTTAGGTTCTTTCACATTTTGTAAATTTTCTGTTTATTGACTATTGGGCCTCCTGAAGTTTCTTTTCTTCCCCACCCTAATTCATTTTATTTTAGGCACTAGAAGAATTTTTTGAACTTCATTCTTCAACTAGACTACTTAATTTTTTCAAATTGACTCAGGCTAAATTTTAAAGAGATTCTGTGTCCTCTATTTCTTCATTTGTAAAAGTTCTATTCTTGTTTCATGACTGCAATATTCTCTCCCATCCCTGATATTATCAAACTAATTTTAAACATTTATTTTAATATTCAGTTTCTATTTTTCCCAGACTTGATTCTCTTCTGTGTATTCAACCACTGTCGCTGTCACATGGAAGGCTCGCTCATCTCTGCTATCACCGCCCGTCTTTCATGCTTACGACTGATGCGCTGAAGAAGGAGATGAAGCCCTGTGTCCTGAAGGCAGGGAATGATGTGCACTGAATAGACTTTCTAGCAGGAGACTAGGTAAGTCCCCAGTTGGTTTGCTTGGTTTATAGGGGAAAGTATAAGCCACACCCCCGACCACCTGCTTCGTCTGAGTTCCCACTTCCAGAGAAATTTCCTGCTTCATACAGAGCCTGTCTTCCATCCAAAAACAGAACCTGAAATTGCTACATTGCTAGTTGAACCCGCCATTATTACGGACAGTGGGCAGACATATGACCAAGCGCCAGCAGGTGAGATCTGCACCCTTGGGACTCTGACCTGAAAAGTAGGGTCTGAATCAGTAGAGAGACAGAGAACTGGATGGTAGCAGCCACTGCAGTGCAGCACGGGGCCCAGCTGATAGTGCAAAACTGAGCATCAGTGCTCTGGCCTGCCAGCCCCTTGCCCCCGCTTTCCTCTGTGACTGCTCTCTGGCCAACTGACCACCCTTGTTTTTGCCCATTTTCTAGACCCAGTCCCACAGGCTTCCCAGTGATTCTTCAAGTCACTAAATATTTCCATAAATGCCTAAGTAAATTCCATTATTGCTTAAATAGGAGGTTTCTTTTCTCTGTAGTGGGAACCCACAGATGCTTGTATTCACAGATCATTTTTAAAATATACCTCAGTTTCTCTAGAAGAGCATTCATTTCCTGCCTGGCTTCCAGTCTTCTGGGAAGCAACTTCAGCAAAGAAAGTTTCAAAACAATTCCTCCCTGATTCCAGGGCCTTGGGACCTCCAATCCTGGGCTGTGCTAGGAGAAACACACTCACATCCCATTCTTTCCATACTGAAATCAGTTTAAAATCTCTTTCTTCCCCCGCCCCCATAGAGCCCTTCCCCCTTCCCCTGAGGAAAACTGTGTCAATAATTCTAAGATGCTCCTAAATTTCCCCTTCTTTATTTCTGTAGCTCCCTATGTTGCTTTAATAACAGTGTCCTGAGGCCTGGGAGCAAGGGCCAAGTGCTACCTCCAATCTGACAAGGTGCACTGGGCACTAAAATGTTGTTAGTCTAAACGGAAAACTTCAGTTATGAAATAATACAAACATGTAAATACTGAGAAGATACCTAGTATTCATCACCCAGATTTCGTAACAGTAAATTGTCTGCCAGATTTGCTTCAGGTCACAAAGAAATGTTAACATGACAGAACTAAAATACAGCATGTGATCCCATTCTCTCAGCTTCTCCAGAGGAATTTCACCCCTGAAGGCACGACACTCCTTCCCACCAGTACTGTACAGTGTGTGAGATCTGAGCTGACAGTACATTTAGAACACACCCTGTTACAGTTGTGTTTTTCCACACAAAACTGTTCTCAAGCACATGCTGATGCAGTGCTGAAAGTTACTTCTGTGTGTCTTCCATTCTCTGCGTATATATATGAGCTTATAGGTGTGTATATATGAGTTTGGTGATTCACACCTACGTTGTTTCCAACATCTTAGCTTTCACAGACAAGATATGGGTCATTCTGCTCACATGTTATTTGGGGACAGTTACGAAAGTTCTTTTGGGGACTCCACCACGGGGAGTACTCAGCCTTGCAGTGGAGCACCTTTCACCCCTACTGGAGCGGATGTTACAACCCAACGGTAAATGAGACAACACTGTTTCCTGCCAGGTCTTTGCCTTTGAATTGTTATGGTGTGATGAACTAAAATGTCATCATCTTGCTTTCATTGGCATTTTCCTGAATTCCAGTAAAATAAGAATTCTATTTCCTTTCTTGTTCTCATCTAATTTACATTTTGTCTCTTTTTCTACTAAATTTTTGCCTTCTTTGCTTTTAATGTCCAGACGGATATTAATCCTTCATTAAACGTGTCTGGATGTAAATGTTCTGTGACTCTATCTTTACCTTTTTTTTACGTTTATTTTCATACACACACACATTTTTAAGAGTGAAATTTATCATTATTATTTATAGTTTGGGATTTTTCTATCCTATTCAAATAAAACCCTCCCAATCTCTAGTAACATACACGTTTTCCTGTATTTTTGTTTAAAAATTGTAAAGTCTCTCTTTAAAATGTCTCTAATTAACCTAAAACTTATCTATAGGAATACAATTTAATTTGTAACTTTAAAACCATGGTACAGGTTTGTAGACTTAAAAAAAAAATGTGTGAAACAAAAGCAAATTAATTCAATTTACTGAAAGAACCTCCAATAGTGAAATTCAATATACCACTTTCAAGATGTATAAACAAAAAGAGCGAAAATTTTGAACACAATTTCAGTAAACACAGACAGAGAGGCAATTATTATAGGTGCCAACTTTAGGAGGAAATACCAAGCCAAGTGTTATATGACCAAAAAAAATAAAACTACTAAAATGTGGCACTAGGTCAAGCAGTAAGAAATGACATCAAGGCAAAAGCTGAGGCATGAAAGGAGAGGCTGACAAAAATCATCACATTTTATTAGGCAAATGTTTACTGTGTACCTACTCTATACCTGGTACTCAAGCTACACCACTGGAAAAAAGTGACCAAATTCTCAGAGGACTTTTGCTAGAATTTCCTTCTAGCAAAGAAACAGTTCAAACATAAATACAAAGCAGGAAAGGGTGAAAGAGTGCTGGGACCTTCAATTCTAAGAGCTGGTCAGGAAGTCGTGAGCTCAGAAGTAGACACTTCTGTCAAGGGCAGAAGGAAGTAGGGAAGCCAGGCCCTCACGCCCCAGAGGGGTCTAGTGCAGTCACAGGAGTGACGGACCAAAAAAGGATGGCATCAGTGCAACAAAGTCATACTGACCTCTGTGCCTTCAAATGGAATCAACTTTCTACTCAGCTGTGTCGTCTGTATAAAAAACAGAACAAGCATTAAGTATTTTAAAAAACTAAAATTTAAGTACTTGTTATACTTATTCTATAATCTTGAATCAATGGTTGTTTTTAAGAGTGCCCAATAAAACTAAAATAACACCTGTATGTAAGAGCAAACTGAAGCACAGAGATTATTTAGAATTCTTGAAAAATGTAAAGCAAAATTTCTAACTTATTAGATTAGGTCAAAATTATATATTAAGATGAATTTATAACCTTTCATAAAAAACAATAAACTGAGAATTTAACTCAGAAAATTATAGGAAAATGTAATAAAGAAAAAGTAAAATTTAACAAACTATAAGCAACAAATAATTGATAAAATAAAGCATGATTCTGTAGGAAAAAACAAAAACCTTTATATTCCTAGAAGTTACAGATAGAAATAGGAGGAAAATTAAATTGTGCAACATAATATATATAAACCAGTGAATTGACTTAAAACTATGAAAATGATAAGGACATAGATAATTTCCCATTAAAAACACAAAAGCATAACAAGTAGAACAGCATAAAAGGATCAAACTAAACAAAAATATCATAAGACATTCCTCAAATATGATCACATGACATAGAAAATGCTAATAATTCTTTGCAATTTGATGAAATTTTAATTTTTTAAGAAATTACACATTATATATCTCATATACATAGGGGAAAATACACACAATAACAAAACCTGAAATAAAATAAAACTAGCAGGTTGCCCAATACATTCCAAATTCAGTAAAGTTCTAAACTCAAAACTCATGCAGATGAAAAAAGAACTAGATTATTTTCATTTACTGAGGAACAATTATCTACCAAGAAATATCATAATAACTTTACATATATTATCAACATATATAAATAAGTTTAGGTAATATTATTAAATATTTTAATGTTCCACAAAAACAACTAAGAAAAATAAAGATGTACAGCCAATTAATAGGAAAAAAGTAGGTTTTTAATTTTACATATTATTTCTCTAATAAATTTACAGATATTTCTATAATTTTTAAAAGATTTATTTAAAAAAGATTTATTTATTTATGCAAACAAAACTGTGGTACAGGTCAGAGATGCAGGGGCAGTGAGAACATTCACCAGAGACAGAGTCGGGGAGCAGAACAGGCAGATCGACAAAGTACATTGCTGAGGGGAGCAGTGGGCGGGTCAGGAGAGGTCTGCCACGCCATGTGGTCACCTCCCAGGTGGGGATCGAGCTCATGCTGAAGTGGCTTTAGCTTCTTAGTGCTGTGCTTTACCCTGCTGCACCACCAGGGAGGGCCTGATATTTCTATAATTTTACACTCATTTCTTATAAGAAATGACTTCTAGTTTTAAAAGGCACTTTGTTTTTCAATTTATTTTTGCATAGAAGGCTTGGGGTATAGGCTATAGGTTCTGATGGTGACAGGATTCACCAGAGACAGAGTGGGGGGCACAACCAGCAGACCCACGAAGTACACTGCTGAGGGGAGCAGCGGGTGAGACAGGAGAGGTCTGCTGCGCCATGTGGGTCAGCTCCTGGGTGGGTCCAAACTCAGGCCACAGTGGTAATAGCACAGAGACTTAATGACCTCTAGGCCACCTGGGATGCTCAGGTACTCATTTTAAACAACAGAAAACCTTTCAGTATTAGAGATTGGATAATTCACTATAACCCAAAATAAAATGACAAACTTGTATTAGGGGAAAAAAAAATGGAACCCATCATCATTCTGCTATCTTGGACTTGTTTGACAGCTGCTGTACTCACTGCAGCATCCCCAGGATCTGAAACATCACCAGATCGAGATGAACGAACACCATACGTATGGTGAATAAGCTGTATGATTAGGTACATGAAATGCTTACCCAAATTGTTCAGAAAAAATTATAAAAGCTGCTCCTTGAGAGGTGACAGATAAGGCTAAAAGATGATCTATATTAAGAAGGTATCTTTTCACAATGAAAAATGAATTTTGTTATTTAGAAAAGTAACAAATTTAAAAAGAACAGTAATAGTAGACTTGTTAGAAAGAAAACACTTCACTTTATTACCATTAAAAAGATACCTCTAATTTTTTAGTACAATGTTATTGGAATACATGTAGCTAAATAGTACACAAGTCATTAAAATGTGAGATTCTAAGGAAAATAAAGAATATTAAAATTAGTCTATAGGAATAAAGATTTAAGTTACAGCACTATGAACTGCAGTATGAATGGAAATAAACTAAAAGTGTAACTGGAAAACAGTTAAGTAAATAATAAGACCCAAGCAGTTTTTTCAATGGTATAATAGCACCACATGGGAAACATTTTACGGTACACTAAATACATAGTTTTATGGTACACTAAATACATAGTTTCCCATGTATGTGTGTAAATATGATACACACATAAAGAATATGCTTAAAAACAGTAATGTATACATATGTACACATATAATCATTATCCATGAATTTTTCAAATAAATATCTTCAATATCTTAATCATTACATAAACTTTTAGATATTTACTTAACAGAACTTTTATAAAGTACTAATTTTTCAAATAGTTTCAAAGTCAAATTTTAGATTCTTATGACTAAGTCCCATTTTTTTCATAATAATATTAAGACTCTAAAGCAGTGCATTTACTGTCCTAATATCTGAATCATCCAGGAAAATGACAGACTATGAGTAGATAAGAATATCTGAAATAAAATTTTGAAAAACATATCTATAATTTGTTCCAGGAAATTAGAATGAGGGAACTGAAAATGCACAGAGCTTCTCAACTACACTGTTACACATCATACTTATTCTAGCAGGCGTGGAAGATGCTGTCCACTACCTATTCCTTTCTATCCCTCCTAATTCTTCCACAACAATACAATCTCGATTTGTTCAGCATTTGTGGTGAACCCTGGCAGGCTTCTTTTATCCTATTTATCCCTTAACCCAGGGGAGAGATCAGGAGTTTTCTAAGTCAGTTATGCTTCTTGGCCAGTGACTAATCTCGGTTTACCACCCAATCTGGATGTTGCCTGCAGGACACAACATCCTGGCAAATGACAGCTTTCTGCTAAAACAGAATCAGCTAGCATGTTCTGCTTTCCCCTTCTTCCTGGAGCACAGAAAGCCTGGAAGAGCAGCAGGCATCCTACATCCATAAGGCCAGCCTATGGAAAGACACCAGTGGAATGAAGAACAAAGATCCAGAGTGTTAAGGGAGTGGGGGCAGAGAGGCATTAAGGTGATTTTTTTGGTTGTTGTTGCTGTCCAATGAACAGCTCAGTTCCTACATCTCTGCACAGGAGAGATGGATGCACACCACCAGGTGTGGAAACGGCATCTCACCTCCAGGGAAAAACAGGACTCAGGTAAGCAGAGAGCCACAGCCAAAACTAAAAAAAGGTGTTTACACCAGCAATGGCAAGCCCTATGCTGCTAGGGATCAACCAAGGAACCAGGGCTGGAGGTGAAATACCCCTCATCCCTGCCCTTAAGGATACCTGAGACCATCAGACAGTCTTATCTAATGGGGTGACTGTCATCCTCCAGGTATGGGCAGCTGAATTCAAGCTTATGGGGAAAGGCTGGTTGGGGAATAGGCATCCTGCATTCATTGGCTGAACTTGCTGTGTGTGGATAAAGGTCTACCTGTGACCCACATATACCAGCCTCCTACCACTGGCTTTTCTGTTTAAGGAAAACACCACCTCCACCTGTGGCCTGGTAGGGATCACATTTATCTATGACATCTGCTGCTTCAAGTCAGAGATCAAATCATCAAGTCCCTGGTGTATCTCACCAGTAGGCTTGGTAAATGAAAACCCCTAGGAACAGCCCACTGCCATGCTCCCTCTCCCTATAGCCCCTGCCAGTGCCAGAGACCATGAGAAAGGATCAAGAGAGGGTTTCCAGGGAGGCAATCTTTACAGACAGCACCTCCAGGCCCTGAAACACAACCCTCATCCACCCATGATTGCAGCTGGAACTGTGGCCTCTCTATAGTCCAATCCCACAGATCTTTGTCTCTGCCTGCATTATCTGGGAAAACCTACTGGTTTCAGGACCTGCAAAGTATAGTTGGGCCATAGCTGAGGGGTCAGTGTTAGCCTGAAACAGTTGGGAAGTTCTGACTGAGGAGGAAGGAGTCATTACAGATCCCTCCCTATGCCCAGCTGACACCCCTGCAGCCCCTCTGTAGTGTGAACTCTTGTTACTCTCTAGAGTTCCTCTTGGCTCGCTTCTGATCTGGTCCCTACTATGTTCCAGCACTGGGGTTCCACTCTCCTATACCAGTGTACAGACATCAGTGTATTACACCACAAACACTAACCCAGGGTCATGAGCTAACAAACTATGACTATATTCTGCAACCTATAATATTACTATGAGACCAACATACCAAGTTCACAAAACTGTTTAGCTCTATCCTTTGAAATTAAAAATGAAAAGGCAGGAATATATCACAAGTGATAGAACAATAAAAGTCAGGGAAAATCTAAACTGATCACAACTAGGTAACTTACCTGAAATAGAGTTTAAAGCAAAACCCCCAAACTATGCTCACTGATGTAAAAAAAATTAATGAACAAACCGATAATCACAAAAAAGATGGACAAAATATAAGGAAGCTCCAGCTGGAGATAACAGACATAAAATATTAGAATGGAACGGAAAACTTGAGGAAACTTGAGCTTCAAGGTATAGTAGTGTAAACACACAAAGGACCATTAAAAAGAGAACACAATTAGGGGCCTCCTTGGTGGTGCAAAAAGCACAGCATTGTGAAGATATCTGCCATCACTGCAGCCTGAGTTCAATCCTCAGCCATAAGCCTACCACATGGCGCAGCAGACCTCACCTGTCTTGCTCACTGCTCCCCTCAGCAGCGTATTTCAGTAGATTCACCTGTTCTGCTCCCCACTCTGTCTCTGGTGAATCCTTTCACACCCACACCTCTGGCCTGTACCCTAGTTCTTTTATGTATAAATAAATACATTTTTTGAAAAAAGAA